AAAGCTGTTTTTATTCTGCATATTGCACACCTAAAGGAAATTCCATAATAAACTTATTGTATTTTGAAATTTATTATTTTAAAAAAGGGCATGATTTAATTCTCAAGTGTTAATAGTTAATATTTAACAGTTAATGAATGAGGCTGAGTTTGTTATGAAGAATTATGGAGATCAAGGAGGGTGTTATCCGTCAAGACCGTAGGCCGAGGCGGATAACTCCCTCCGAGATCTCCATAATTCTTCATATGATATGAAAGCCAAATTCAATAATTGTTTTATTATTCATTCAAAATAATTCCTAGTTCAAAAACATGGCTAAAACATGCCTACCTCCATTGATCCATCAATGTTCAGTTCATCTTCGATAGTGTACGTTTAGGTTTGTCCAGCTCCACAAATATTCTCCAAATAACAGATGTTGCCCTCTGAGCTGTCTTCTTGCTGTTTTTGCTATGTTTTTAACTATTACTTTGCCTAGTTCCAACTGTAGTTATTACGCTGGAAACGGGTGAAGTGGCGGCCATTTTTGTTTTCACAACCAAAACAACTCAACCTTGTCCCCAGGTCTTCTCAGTTAACTGTTCATTAACCTGTAGAAGGCTGCATTTTTGACGTCATTTCCTCGTTAAACACAAAATTCTTCCAAATTTGGTCATCAGTAACTGGTTATGGTGAATTAAACATGTGCTTTTAGCCAATCAGAATCGGGGAAATATTTTGAATGCATAATAATATGTTTTATCTATACATGTGTATTTATTGTTATGATCTGGTGATAATAAATTCAAGCTTTTCAACAGAAACTGAACTCAGTGATTTATTGTTTCCTTATCTGAATGGGGTTGGGGTTATGGAGATTTCGCGTGTCATAAATGAGGGGAATTATCTAATTGAGCAACATTGCTGACCCAATTTTACGCGGGAAAAAGCTCAGAGGCGGGAAATATGGACGGGAGTAATAAGCATCGTACAAATATTATGGAGACAAACCAGCCATTTTCTTGGAGAAAGAATACCCCTAAAGAAAGAGCAGCAATGCAAAACGAAAGAAGAAAGCGAAGGAGAAAGGCTAGAGCGGCGAACAAAGAAGATAAAAGAAGAAAAGCTTTGTTAGCACTTGAAGATGAGCGAGCGATGACCCTAGCGAAGAATGAAAGATTGCTCCATCTTGCGAGGAAGTACTACGCTAAATGGCATGCTCTACATCTTCGTGAACGGGTAGGAACGTCATTTGATGTAATTTTTCGTAGTCCGTTAAATATCATCTAATGTTTACAGTGAAGGGTTAAGACTTTTAACATCTGCCGCTTCTGCAAATACCTCACAGCTATGTATTCATTACAATGATTTCAATACTAATTGAAGTAGCCAGCAGGTTTAAATACAGTAACCGACTGTAACAACAAGGTACCGCTAGTCCCCTCCTTTTGGAAAAGTCTGTGGTATGCTTCCCCAGAAAACTTTGAAATTTCAAAGCCCTAGGACGCGATTTACCGCGTTCTTGTTTATACTAGATCAGGAGTAGATCTAGAGGGGAGGGTGAAATGGGTGCATCAGCAAAATAAAGCAATTAAAAAATGTAAGGGCTACTTAGAACCAATCAGATTTCATAATTGGCAAGAATGGTATTAATTTTTTTCAGACTAGCAAAATGGATAAATCAAACACCATGGAGAATGAGAAACAGGCACATAAAGATGCCTCAATTTCTGCAGATCAACCGGTGTCACATGTAAAGAGAAGTCATCTCAGTCATGTGAAAGATCCAAGTGGTTCTACTGACCAGCCTCTGTTACTGGGATGTGGTGTCTTTGGACGTTGCTATAAAATGTATTACAGAGGGATTTCAGTTGCTGTTAAACAATTTAACACACACCTGTCATCAGAGTCCAGTGTTATCAAAGAAGCATCACTGATGAAACAGTTGGATCACCCATGTTTTCCCTACGTTTATGGTATTTGTGTACAAAGCAAACCTTACCTGTTAGTACTTCAGTTTTGCAATGTGGAAGGCAAAGCATACACTCTTCACAGGACTTTACACAGCCGTACCTGGGTTTTAAAAAATCAAGAGTGGTTTGATGTCATTTTGCAACTTCTAGAAGCACTCAAAGTGTTGCACAACTCTGGACTGATTCATCAGGATATAAAAGGTGATAACATCTTGCTTACATACAAAAATACACTGTTTGTGCCAGTAATCATTGATTTTGGAAAGTGCATTAGAATACAGGAAGCCAGAAGAAAAGTTTTGTCCAAACAAGAACAAGAGACATACAAACAGAAGTACACACATGTTGCCCCTGAAGTTGTTGCAGGAACTCACCCTCCATCTCATGCAAGTGATGTATATGCCCTTGGCCGTCTGTTAAGGCAGATTGCAACCAAGATTGGTTGCAAGCCACTTCTCTCCCTTAGTGAATGTAGCTTAAAGAATGATCCAAATGCTAGGCCTTCTTTGGATTACCTCTTGGTCAGTGTCAAGTCTCTGTCATCATGATTAGGTTCTTGATATTAAATAGAGAGGAGAAGTCGTTACGTCAAATTTCTTGATGACAACAAAGTGAAAAGGTCACTTAAAAAGTGAAATCACACTGTTTCAAACTTATCGATCTTATTCACTTTCTTTTAATTTGTAAAATCGTGGCGAAATTATTTTCTGGGGTTGAATCCAAAAGGACCATATCTGACTTTAGAAAAAGAAAAAGAAAATTCTTGTGCTGTGTTCACCAACTCCATAAACCAGTGACGTGAAATTAGGAAGTTTCAAGTTGCAGACTTGCAACAATGGATAAGAGATGTACAAAAAAACGTGATCCACTTGCAAAGTTGTTGTTTTGCTAACATAAATAGAGGATATTACATGGCCACGCGGAGATAAGAAATTTCTCTTCAAGTGTTGCACGAGAAGAGAAATTTCGTATCTCCAAGCGGCATGTAATGTCCTATTTATTATGTAAACACCAATGAAATACCAAACCATTTCACTTTAACAGTTTTTTGGTGTGAAAGGCGCGATTTATTATCTAGCCATAGCAAAGGTGATATTTTCACATGTGAAGATAACATGTTATTTTCACCTGTGAAGATATCAAGTTCTCGCAAGGAAGCTCACCTAGTGTTTCATTGGTGTTTATATAATAAACTGATTTCTTTTTTGCCGTTTGTTGCCGTCGCTGTGGTTGTTGCTTAAGCTCCCCACTGTTGTGATCCAGAAATGTTGCTACCATGGTAAAGTGACATCATACTCCTTCTCTCTATTGGTTGTCATATCACCACTAACTAAAACTGTATATCACGCTGTCAAGGACACTGTGGCAGGACTACAAACCCTTTTAGTCCCAAGAGTCACCCAAAACAGTTTTCCCTTCACAACATCATTACTTCATTAAAGGAAAAGATTATGACAACAACATAAACACCACAAGGAGAAGGGTTTCATCTTTCAACAAATTAATTCTCTCGACTAATGCATGGAGATTATTAGGGAAATTTTGTATTTGGATATTGGGGCTTAAAGGGTAAAAGTGTTTTAATGATGTTAATATTGTGACCTTTATTTTAAAAAAATAGCTTTCTAATAAAATTACTGATAAGTTACTGAAGTTTTGCTTTAGGTTGACTGAAAGCCAAGTCCACTCTGTCCGATCTATGAATTTAAATTTATAATGTGGATTTGACTATTGTATGACATATTTTACTGCACAAGTAAGGATTTCACATTCTGTGGGAGAATTGTTATTTACTTCAGGCTCAATTGAAAGTCAAAACCACTGTTTCTGGTCATACTACCAGGGTTTCTTTTTTCAAATGACCTCCTTTGCAAGCTTGGAACTACAGAAAAGTGATGGTGAAATATTTACCTTTAATTCGGTTTTCCTTACAGAGTAGGTGGAAGCTTGTAGTTGCCCAGATGTTTTCATCTTTAGGCAGCGCACCGGAAACGGGACAGGACAGATGTTTCATCTGTTAAGTTAGCGGAAGCTTCCCTTGTAAGGTAAATTCAATGATTGGCAGAGGTATTCATTTTTCCAGACTCACTGTGTGAAATCATCATGATTAGAGAGGTAAATACCAAAGGCTAAACTCAACATTGTTCAATCACTTAAATTTCACAAGTGTGTGTTCACTGCAGAGTAGGTGGAAGCTTGTAGTTGCCCAGATGTTTTCATCTTTAGGCAGCACACCGGAAACGGGACAGGACAGATGTTTCATCTGTTAAGTTAGCCAAAGCAAACTTTGTAGTGAATACAAATAATGGGCGACAGGTTTTGGTTATGGACCGTGTTATTTCTGCAGTAAATACCATTCCCTTGTGGGTCATTTAAAAGAGAAGCTCTGGATCCTAAAATACATGATGGAGAGTGGATCTGGTTCTATTGCTTTTAATCACTCCTGAACATCGCTTTACTTATTTAAAATGGCAGTGAAATGAGGTGTCAAGACCTGATGGTGAATCCCTAGTGTATAAGCACTCACAAAGTAGATAACTTTCTTGTGTTGGGATCAGTTTTGGTTTGGACTGGGAGACTTCTAACAAAGGATTCAGCATGTTGTGCTCTTATGATTGATTATATTCTTCTTTTAAGATTTAGGCCATGGCCACAGTAGCACTACATGAACACTAGTTATTATTTTTTAATAAGTGAGTTAATAAACTCTTCCAATTGGCAGTGTTTTTGCATAAAGGCTCTGTGCCAGGTACCACACAGAAAACACACAATAGGTAATGGGCAAAATTCTGGTGGCAGGGAAGCGCTTAAATATAGGGGTAAGGGGTCCAGGAGAGAAGCCCTCCTGGGGGGAGACAAGATTGAGTGGTACCAGGGGGTAGCCACCCTGGGCAGGAGTCCTGGTAGTCTCTGGGGGTGAGGCCCATATCCCCCAGTCACTAGGAACTAAGGGGAACCAGGAGGGGTGGCCATCCTGGGTGGAGTACAGATCAGGTGTGACCGGGGGTCCACACCCTGGAGTGGAAATTTTTCCAGACTTGTCTCCAAGGGCTAAGCCTTACTGTGGGGTAAAGTGCAGCTAGGGGTTGCACTTCCCTGCCACTACTTTTATTGGGAAGCAAGACAGTAGTTTCACATCCCAGGAACTTAATGAAGGAATAAGACCCAGTCCAGTATAACACCATAATATATATGATTAATCTTTAACATACATTTAGATGTAGAAGAATAAAATAATGATCTGCTTGAAATACGTTCTGGTCGTGGTAAATATAGTGAACATAATTAATAATCGAAAGAGCTAAACAAAGGTTCCAGTCAGAACAAAGGGTGGGTGGGAGGGAAAAAACGCTGTTGTGAATGAACCGAAGCCCTAAGAGAACTGACTGGGAAAGGACAGTGTACGGCAAATAGAGGAGCTCATGTGCATGATGAGCATGTGGTAATATGAATGGAACCTTTGTGCAGTCTAGTAAACATATCATGCCAAGTTACAGTGGACTTTGCCAAAGGAGAAGGATACATTGTAATCAAACAGCTAGTTACTGTTCATTGTTCTTTCTTGTACTTTGAGCTAGTACCTATCATTATACTTAGTACAAAAGCTTATTCAAATGTTGAATTTTGTGTGACAAAAGAACAGAGACATGACTGTTGCTAGTACGTCAATAAGTGTGGTTTCATAGGGCATAATTCTCAAGTTTATTAACATCAGTTTATGCTACCATAAACTTGAATTTATCTTTATTTTTAAGCAATTCGTTGAAATTTAGCAAAACTTCGCTATCTTGCTGACATGCTTTCTACGTTTTGGAAAGAAAAATTGTTTGAATGGCTTACCCAATGTCACTCTTTTTCATTGTAATGCAGCGTTTTTTAAAGAAAATACAAGACAAGACTAATAAACGCCAGTGGAAAAATTTGGCGGTGACATTGCTCAAACCGATTCTTTGAAAAACCGTCAACTAGTCGATCTGTACTCTGATTGACTGTATTTTCTATGACATGGTATAATTGAACTGATGTAAAATAGAGTTAATTCCAAATTCTTTTGGAAATAAAGTTTATGCTTTCAGGGGGGATCTTTATCCACCCCATGACTTGTGTTCATTATACACACTTTAGATTACCCTTCTTTCCTTTTTTATTGCCTTCGAAATGCCTCAGTTCATGGTCAAAATTTGTTAAGGTGTTAGTTTTCCTTTAAAGTAGACTGATGCTGTGTCGGTTGCGGAGTGGAAGTTGGAAAATTGTTTAGTCTACAAGGTTGACATTGTCACCTCGAAAAGATGACGTTTCGAACGTTCATCCCTCATCAGAACGAATACTATCAGTATACCGAAAGCAAATGTGAGAAAACACTCGCAAATTTGGTTATTTGGAAGTAATGCAAATTTCGTCCAAAAGTAAATATTTGCACATGTTACATGAGTAAAACGCACGCGAAAGTTTTTGGATGTAGTTTGGGTAAACGTTGGAAAACAGTGATGCATACATATAGATTTGCAACATGTTTGCTCAGATTTTTTCAGAAAGCAAACATTATTTTTCCACAGAGAGCAAATCTGGAGTAAATGTACACCGGATTTGTTGATTTGCGGAGGTATCAAATACGAAGCAAATGTAAAGTAGATTTCAGGTTTACGTCGTATTTGCACGCAATTTCAACGGATCAAACATCTGTGTTTGCATCATAATTACTTCTGGTGATAATTTTGGTCAAATTTAGAGGGCTAAATTTGCATCATATTTACTTCTGTTGCAAACCTGTTTAAATCCGTTTTTTCGTGCAGTGGACACAGCAGTCTTGACTTTTACTTTTCGCTTTCTCTCCTCCCTTCTTTTTTCGCTTTTCTTGCCTCATTTTTTTTTTCTCTTGCTGGGCATTTAGTAGGCTTGATTTTGGTGGGAAGAGCTTTTAGGAAAGCTTTTAGGATCTTAGGATTCTCACCAACGCAGTTCGGTGGCATGTTTTTAATTTCGTTGGTGCCCTTTAACGTCTGTGAAACGTACAATGACGAACAGACATCTTTGGCTTTACTTCGCGACCGTCCATCGTACATTTGTCCACAGTCTTTGATGCTTTATGGCATTTTACGTGTATGTATTGAAAGATTTTAGAATAAGGTGGCCAGTTGTTTATTTTTCCCGTTCGTTTCCTACTCATTGTATTGTCAACATTTTGTATAATTTCTGCACATTGCACTGTCAGCATACTCCGTGCCCCCTCGCAGCTGTTCCCTTGAGACGTCTCACTTGTTGTATTGTGTTTATTCTTCTTCACCTATTACACTTGTGATCTTAGAGGTCACATAGCAGAAACAGAAGGTGACGTAACTCCTAGATATCAGTAACCACATTCTCTTTACTCTAGCATACAGCCTTTATAAATTTGCACGAGTTTCCTCGTATATTATATTTTTCTTTGGCTTTTGCTTCCTATATTTCCTTACCCCACACTTGAGTCGTGCTCAGGGGGGGTTCCTAAACACACCCCTCATCCAGTCTTCGGACGGTGTCCTGACTCGACTCAACTGTGGGGTTCCCT